ACCATGCATTAACTTGGCATTATCTCCTAACAACGCCGTGGCCATACGCCTGGGTCCTGACAATGACATAAGCCTCATAACAATGGAGTACATGAACGGGCCAATGGATCAGAATGGTAAAAACTGCCACCTTTTTCCTCCCCCACCAATTTCCCCCCATCCAATCATTACCCCAATTAACCCACTCGTATTAGACAACCTCGAGATCGCCTGCGTAGCGCTGGCCCACCAACATGCCTACTCCTGCAATAACCTCATAAACAACGACGACCTTTTACTGGTAGCACAAAAGTACCGTAGCCCAATCTTCAACAACACCTTCCTCTCGGAAGCCCATCGAGCACTGAACCTGAAAATGGATTTCGCAACAGAGTCACCGAACGAACGGCTCTTCAGAAACCCGCTCCTGCAGCGCTGCCTGAGTTTGCAAAACTCCCTCGACTTTCGCGGGGAAAGGGTCAACAAGAGACTCTCTGGAAAACTTGCCTGGGCGACGCTACACCTGCGCGTAGCGTCCGTGGCTTTCGCGCTGACCTTCAACAACCCGCAACGACAAGGCCAGGGCGGAGGCGCTAGTGCTGCTAGCGGCAGCGGAAGCACATCCAGCGACATCGATCTCCGCCCCGAAGCGCTCCAGACCTTGTTGGGCCTGGTCCGCTGGTTAATGGACATAATGTCTCTAACAATCAGTGACCTCTTCGAGCTCGCCAAGGCGACAAAAAATCACACCTCGGACCTCGCCTACGTCCGGAAAAAGGTAATATCCGGCAACTCCCCGGCGCTCTTCCTCGCACTCTCCAGCGCACCACGCGCGCTCCTACGATACAACTGCCGCAGCCTTCGCGGCCTAGAAACAACAGCAGGCAAACACCTCTCCTCCACCCTCTCCACCGCCACGGACGAGGAAACCAAGGCCACCTTCCGCAGCCTAAAAGTGCCCATAGAATCTTGCGCCGTCAAGATCTCACAGTTCGAGCGCATAATGACAGACATCGACGGCACCATCCGCGCAGCCTACCACAACGTCCCCGAAGCGGAACGTGCGCAGGCCGAGAAGCTGCTCTTCGTGAACAACGAGATACCTCCTATATTCCGCCTTGCGGTAGAGCGTCTGTTGAATACTACGCTACCGAACCTCCGGAACGACCTGGACATTGCAAAGTTGTTCTGGCACGACGTTACCTGGCTTGGCTTCCACGATGATGTTGCCAGCTGCGAGTATCGCAGGAAGAATCGGATTGATGCGATTCGGAAAGTGGTGCTACCGAAAGATGACGGCAGTGGCGGGGCAGGGGGGGGGAAGGTTAAGCTGCGGAGGTGTACTAGGTGCTGTGCTGTTGTTGAGGACATCATCCCCAACAAGAGCCCGAGCAATTGGTTTGGGTCGATGCAGAGGATGTGCTTCTGTGGGACGCTTTGGATGCATATTTCTTGAGGGATGGCGGTCAAGGTGTCATGTTTATAGTGCCGTTGGTGGCCGATCGGCTCTATTCGTAGGTTTTACGGGGTAGATAGGTGAGCGGGGGGGTTTTTTTTTGTCTATCAGCTAATACTCCACCTGCCATGGTAGCGGTGCCATGGTTTCAAGCTACGAGAGGTTTGATACCGAACGGATTATGTTACGGTAATTTGGCGTGAAGTGGGCGGGTGGGGGGTCGGCTATCACTCTTGTACTATCTTTACGCAAGAAGTCATGAGCAGTCTGGCATTTTGCGCCAAAAACGAGCAACATTTCATTCCGGAAATATCTCGTCTTGCTCACACTGATAAAAAATAAAATAAAAATTAATAAAAATGCCAAATCTCCCAGAACCATATGGAATTTGTTCCGTGTGCGAACCACACGGAGCTGGGGAAACACCGCAGTAAAAACAAGCTGTCCCTGAACTCGATAGTACTGGAAACATACGTACTGTACAGTACACCGTATTCAAATACTGGTGGACTACATTACAGTATCATACCCAAAGCCAGCACAACTCAATCCCTTCTAAGACTTTTCCCCAACTTTTACGGCATCATTGTTACAAACAAGGTATTTTTAAAACTCAAATATTTCTCCCCCTGTCATAATTTAATTTCCTGTTCTACTACGGCAATTTCTGGTTCCATTACAGCATTCTGTAAGATAACAAGCTTATGTAGATATTGCCTGCCTGATATGATACCTTCTAGCCAATACATGTAGGATTAGAGTTTGGGTGAAAATTGAGTTTATAATTTTACACCTATAGGGGACATGGGGTATACAGTATCTACTCCAGCACGATACAGTACTGTACATACAGTACATGCCGAAACATGCACTTAAATCCTTGTACTTGTACAATACCATAATATCATATTATCATAACTTACTTTTGGGAAAACAAAAAGAAAAAAACTTAATCGTGCCAAGGTGGTGGCGTCCACCACCCCTGGAAGCTCGCAAACTCGCAACCATGGGCACTCCAAAGGAGTGCCGGCCATCTCAAAGATAATACGATAATTTTATGCTCAACAAAAACCGATATCATAGTGTGATATAAATCACCAGTTTCCCCCACACTACAAGCAAGCAATGCTACCAGCAAGTATGACTGAGTGGAAAGAGCCATATGATGCAGTAGAGTCTCAGATTAGGGAGGCAATTGAGGTTCTGATCAGCTGGGAGGAGGAAAATCCAAATCTGGCACCTGCTGCTCATGAGTTCAATCTTCCACTACAATGATTGAGAGCACAATTGAATGGAAGAGAGTCAAAGGAAAAAAGGCCAGCAACAAACAGGAAGCTCTCGGAAGAGCAAGAGCGTGGAGTTTGCCAGTATCTTGATCGACTGGATGCCATTGAAACCTCAGCCCGGTTGCATATGATCACAGGTTGCGCAAATGCAATCTTACAAGATGCACATAGCAATTCATCTGTACCAGCGCCAGTGGTAGGAGAATACTGGTCTCAGCGGTTTCTCGAGCATTATCCGTAGTACTATATCCACAAACAATATACGATTGACGTCGACCGTAAAAGTTCTCATGATCCAGAGTGTATTCTGCAATAGTTTTCAAGCTACGAGCGAGTCTGTAATACACATGGTATTCAGATTGGTGATCGATATAATTTCGATGAAACCGGATTTAGAATAGGAATTGGGCATAACCAGTAGATAATCATGTGAGATCTCAGCTGACAAGCCTATCTTGGGAGTTCTACAAACTATGAGCTTACAACTGTAAGCGAAACTATCAGCACAGACAGTCATGTTTTTCCACCTATGATAATTATCTCTGGGATAATTCATCAAAAGCACTAGTATACTGAGACTGATATACCAGATAATTACTATCTATCAGTCTCTAATACAGGATACTCAAATGACTATTTGAGTATGAAGTAGCTTGCTCACTTTCAGGACTTTTCTGCATGGTGACAGACAGGAGCTTATCATTTACTCCAATTAGACAGTTATGGCTCACATTGTACGAGAGAGTTTATTGAATACTGTAATAACTTTAAAATTATCCCTTTCTGCTTGCCTCCCCACTCAAGCCATTTGTTACAGCCACTGGATGTAGTGGTTTTTCAGACCTACAAACATTATCATAGTGAAGCAATTAAGGCTGCAACACGAACGGGATGTACAGACTTTGATAAAGTTAAATTCCTGACCACAATTGACTCTATCCAACAACAAACTTTTAAACCCTCTACAATTTGCTCTGCTTTTCGCGCGACTGGCCTGGTTCCAAGCGATCTGGAGGTTGTACTTAACAAGTTGTAGGAAGTTCAAGAAGCCCAAACACCACCAACCACCTCCTCGCCATCCTCTCCTCAATTACCACAGACTCCCCTCACAATTTGTTCCTTAAAGTGGCAGGGAGATGATCTTGAAGCTGTCACTATTCATTTATCACCCATATTCCAGAGAAAGCTGAAGCTGATTATAAGAGGAGGAATGATACAAGCAATTTCTGGGGTACAGGCTGTGAGTGACCTTGCAAATAGGAAGGCAGCAGAAAAGGCAAAGGCAGCAAGACAGCAATCACGATAGGTAGTTCAAAAAGGAGGACAGCTTTATGCCCATCAAGCATGCAATATGGTCAAAGAGAAGGAAGAGTTGGAGGTACAGAAGGCTAAAACTACCCTATGCTGTGCTCAACTTGCAAGGTAAAAGGCGAAAAGTGCAGAACGGAAACCACTTCTGAAGAGGCAAAAGATGCCTGGAAGAAGCTGTGCAGTGTCTGGACCAGTTGGAAGAAATTGATGAAGGCTTTGTGTGGGGAGGTCTGAAAGTATGGGCATAGACATCGTCATATAAAGTAAATTATTGTTGAGCATGAAATTATTGTTGGATTGGTGGCCACTCCTTTAGTGTGCTCTTGGTTGGGAGTTTGCGGAGCTTCCAGGGCTGGTGGATGCCACCACCTTGGCACGATTAACTTACAATTTAATGTTATATAACCACATTTTCTGAAAAGTAATCTATTGAAACTCTTTCTCTCTAAAGAATTTAATATTATTACTATTAGCACGGCTCTACTCGAGTACATCTATCGACTTTCTGGTTATAATATTTTAAATTTCATTTCCTTTCATCTTTCATTCTCTTACCTTGTACTCCCTTACTCTGCCTGGCAGTTTTTTTTGTTTTTTTATACGGTCGTTTTCTAAGGATCAACGGTTATAGTATTGTAATTGGAGAGCAAAATACCAGGAGCACCAGGGGTGTTCAGAAGGTGCATTTAATCCTATTGGCTTTCCATAGAAATGTATGGTACCCTGCGCCATCTCGGAACAAACCTTTTGTTATCAGCGCTCACATTAGGGTGGCAAAAATCACCCAATTTTTACTAAAGGAACTCAAACAATTGTAAAACTTGTAATGCTATTCTATGGTGTTTTGGGGTGAGTTGTAAGTCATTACAATTGCTTATTTTTGTATGATAGAGTACTGTAGTTTGCCAGTATTGTATAACGAGTGGGCGAATGGATGAGAGGACGGGAACAAAAGCGTTCTGCTGTGTCGACACTAAAGCTAAGGTTGGCTGGTCCTGATTCAGTTTACTTACTTTCCCCCCAGATGAGGTAAAGTGAGGAAATAAGGCAAAAGGAAGAAGGAAAGAAAGACTTCTGGCAACGACTATGAGACACCACCACTGCTACAACAGCAACAACAAACTACAGCGACGACCAGGTCTACGACATGATAGATCGTAACGAGAAGTCGTATGAACGAAAAAAGAAGGATGGAAAAAAGCAAGTCCTAGCGTGTACATCCAGTCCAAGCCTCCTACGTTATTCAATCTGATCGATTAAAGCTTTGAAATATCCCCGAACAATTCAGCCATCGCCTTCTTGTAGACGGCTCGTTCCGCCGCAAACTGATCTTCGTATACCTAGAACATGGAAGGAATTAGGTCACATTAGATAATATGTCCAATATGGCCCTTCACTGCGTTGAAACAAGGGGGAGCATGAGATAGATATGATACCTTCTTTTCGGCAGCAGACAGCTTTTCGTACAAATCACGAGAATGCTTTAGGGCTAAAACAGCAGGCATCTTGGACCCGTCCGGATTGATAAAGGTGCCAGCGTTCCACTGGTCTCTCAGGAATGCGGCACCAATAGGGGTAGGTCTCTTAGGCATTCTAGGGTCCTTGAGCACATCGAATTTTTTACCACCACCCAAGCGCTTGAGGTGTTTACGGGCCTTGTTGGCCTTGTAAACCTCGAGGGGATGGTAGGTCTTGACCCATTTCTCACGATTCTGGAGACCGAGGGCGTGAAGATTTCTGCCCTTTTCAGCGTATTCCTACACACCACTGTCAGCCAATTCATGACAAACTCGACAGACGCCGGGGGCACAATGTCGGGAGTCATATAAAAGGAGCATATATATATATATTATGTGAAGGATCCACGGAATAAATAAACATACCTGCTGTTGCTCAGGAGTAAGTGCCTTCCACTTTTTGGCTGCATCCGCACCTACGGTGACCCCTTCGAGAGACATGAAAGTAGAATACGGATTGGACGCGGGGACCTTAGGGGGCGCGAGAACGTGTTCCTTGAGCATACGCTTTTTTTGGCGCTTCATTTGTTCGGGAGTGAGTTCCTTAGTAGACTTCTTCTTCTTTGCAGCCGGCTTCTTCTTTGCGGCCGGCTTCTTCTTTGCAGCCGGCTTCTTCTTTGCAACCGGCTTCTTCTTCTTGAGTGCAGTGGATTTCGATTTGGTAGCGGTCCCTCTCTTCGAGGTGGTCTTCACGGCAGTTTTTTTTTTTTTGGCGGCAGGCACCCCCTTCGCGGTCCCCTTTGCACCTGCCGTGGCAGTCTTGGTTTTAGACGAAGCATTGCGGATGCCAATTGCTTCTGCCTTCAAAGGGTTGTCGATGAAGCGGTTGATGGCATGGAGACGGCAGAGGGGAAGGGGATTGGCCTTGGCCAAGGTGAAAATGTTGCGAGCAAGGAATCGACCGAAGGACATGGCCATTGTTACTGTGTTTTGATCCGGTTGGTTGACGGTCCAGTGAAGATGAGAGGAGAAGAGGGATGCACGATGGGTTTGATAAAGGGTGGGATGGGGAAGGTTTGATGTTTACGAGGATTTTCACCGGGCCTTGGCACCGTCATTGGGTGGGCGGACGGGGTACGGTATTGTTTCTACGCCTAATTCGAGCGGGGTTGCGTGCATGTTTCAGAACAGAACAGTGCGAGGGAGGACTGTTTTTGACCTGTCATTCGAGATGTGCAACACGCACCGATCAACCCATCCCCTCTCTCTCTCGCCAACTGCATCATACATTTTGAGCCTCAAAGAAAGGAGGCTGTGGGTGCCGTGCAAACATGATTTAAGTATCGCAGTCTAATTGAATACCGTGAATAACCTGGTGCAAACCCATTCACCGATTGATAATTTGGATTTTCAATTATTGCGTGCTCTTTATTTAATTTTTGCATCCATCAGACCCTGTAGCCTTACTCGAGTGTGAAAATATTATACTCGTATCATAGTTAGACTACGGTACTCGTACAGTATGATACCGTATGATGTGCATTTCAATCTGTCCGGGAAGTTTGATCTGATGATCTGATAACCTTATAATCAGACCTTCTTCCCCCCCTACCCATTCCCAACCCCTGGCAACAACAACGGGGCATCGGAACAGAAGGAGGAAAGAAAGAAAGAAAGGGAGAGCAAAGCCGGAATCAACAGATACCTCTCTAACTTGGTCGAAAATACAAAGAAAGCTTCCTGCCAGAAGACGCTCGGTGTTAATAGGCTGATGGTCTCAGACCAGCTACTTGTACAAAAGGAGCGGGTTGTTTCCAACGCCCTCCCTCAAGATCTCAAGGGGCCTACGGTAGTATCATATCATACATCTGGCAGACAGTGCACCTGCGCAAGCGGGGAAGTGATTTACACAACATTTTCCGCTTTCATTTTTCTCAAAGCGATGTGATGGGTGTTGTAGGGGTACAATGCTAATATCGTATGATAATTATATTAAGGATATAATATTGTAATTATTATCATTATGATTATTTTCCATGGATGCACTCATACCGGCGGTCGGGCACGGTACAAGTACAGTATCATACTTGTACGATGAGGTTTCTCGCCAAAACCCAGCATCACGGCCTGATCTAATTTATTTGATCTGATAACGAGAATATGGAGTACGAGTATTCATAACTTAAAATTTATGGTAAGTCCTACCGTACCATTTGTGTGCCGTACTGTACCGGTACTCGAGTACGAGTACGAGTACAGTACCGCATCAACCTCAATAAAGTACTATCATACCGATAGTGACAACCACCAACAGGCGTCCTCAACAACAGCACTCCCATCCCAAGCGCGACCGGCTTTTTTTTTTTTTTGTTAAATTGTAGAATCTATTTGCTTAAACGTGCAAACCTCCACTATAAGAGCACAGTCCGGCTAAAGCATAGATCCTAGATACCAGGGCATCTCTGCAATAACCGCCCCACACCCCTGATTTAGTCCTTAGACATGCTGGTCAAAAACTTCCTCCACAGGCCTAGGGGAAAACAAGCCAGCCCAAGTCCCTCTGGTATGGGACCAACCGCACATCCACCCCCATGAAAGCTCCTTCTGCACAAAACAAAAAAAGTACAAAACAGGACTAGCAGGAGCCAACAAGAAAACCCACACCATATTCTCTTGAGAAAGGAAACATAAAAGAAACCCAACAAAGGAAACCACCTTGATAAACCACATTCCCCATTTTTCAACTAGTCCAGCCTTGGCTAGCAGCTAGGAATATAGGGGAGAACCATGATACATTTACTTTGTGTGATGAAGGCAACCGACCTGGACATGCCGGTCCCCAGTGGAGTGATCACTTATGGCTGGTCAGACGGGGGCATGACCAGAGGCAGTGCAATACCAACTACGCGTCGCTGAGTAACCCAGACATTGGTAAAGTAGTAAACCCAACCGAGTAAAAGAACCCAGAGGGGTGGAGGAGTAGTCGCAACCTCATACAGCTTAGCCGAGGTAGCCACCATGGAGGGAGGGGGAGGACAGGAACCACAATCTGGCAGAGGAACCCAAAGTCCAACACCAGAGGGGTTGAAAATTTCATTTAGCCTTACGACGAGGTTTGGTGTTCAGGCTTATGAAGCTTCCAAAGTTCAGTGCTGGAGAGAGGATCGTGAGGTGGTAGAGCATGGTGTTGACAACTGCCACCTCCTTCCCAAACAGGAAGGTGAAAAGCGGGGTCAGGAAAATAGTGGAAGAGAAGCTTGCAAGCGCGACCGGCATAGCGGTGCTGTACTTGTACCACCGCCAATCTCTTCAGGGTGACAGGCGTTCAAGCCCGTGTAACAGAAAAACGTGTGACACTGTGACAGCCTTGTCAATACTGTCCGTTCTCAGGGCTACGCATCGTTCTGGCTACTGCGCACGCTGCACACATCAACGCAGGAACCTTGGTGGACAATCCTGTTGTAATCCCTCCCTCACCCTCCCTTCCTCCCCACCCCTAACAAAAAAAAAAAAGAGAGAGAGAGAGAGAGAGAGAGAGATAGAGAGAAAGAGAGACGGAATTTGCTGTACTTGTATCTGCCGCCATAATGCCGTCTCATTATGATTCCCGTGCCAGCGTTTTCACACAGCGCCCACTCTCCCTTAACCACCGACCTCCCCCTCCCTCACCCTTCGCCGATACCCACACCGCTTATCACCCCGACTCCCGCATACCACTTCAAACAGCCGGCACTCGCCGGAAGAGAGCGAGATTTATCATGATTTCGCCCGTCCCTCGTGAACATCCTTTCTTTGACCATCACCAACCTGAGCAGGACAAGGACGAGCAACATCAAAGCGGCCAACACAAGAACCTACCAATACGGGATTCATCTCTAGACATTATTGGCTCTCTATTTAGCACCTCTCTAGCCAATGTTGTCCCATACGATGGCTCTATGTGTTCTTTGAAGATTACCGAGGGGTCGAGCACTGGCCTTGCAGCTGCTCTTCCGGTTTCTATATCACCACAGCCTCGCGCCGAGGGTGACTGCGCAAACAATTGCGAGTATGATGATTGTGGAGAATGCAGCGATCGGTGTTTGATCGAGGTGGAGATCTGTGACGAGAAGGAATGCATTGAAGGGTCAGGCTCGGATCGAGACTGCCACAGCACACCATGTCCAGATGCAGATGTCTGTCATGAGACTATTATATGCCAGAAAGACGATTGTTCTGAGGACCAAAGGTGTTCGGAGAATTCTTGCATGGGGACTTACTGCCATGAAGATTCTTGTCAGGAAAAGGGGTGTGAGGAGGACATATCCCATCCCTCATGCCAGTCCGACTGCCCAGTTGATGGCTGTAGTCGCTCGGTCCTCGGGACTCCTCAGGTTTCCACGTTTGTCAGCGCTCAAACAGATAACACCATCGGATGGTCACCGCCTGCGCGTCAGTCACATGCGCCGTACTCAAACGTGGAGCCAACCCTTCTAAATCTGGATGTTCGCTCTCACTCTCAACCGCTCTCTTATCCTCTCTCGGCTTCTTCACGCTCGTCAAGTGCCTTCTTTGAAAATCCTCACGCGGATTACGAAAATAACTATGAGCACTACTCTGCCCCCTCAAAGCGTCGAAGAGTTTCCACGCCAATGTCAACCTCGAACTATTGTCCGTACCCAAAACATCACGCAACAACTGATGCTATGCTCAATGAGTGTGCGCACGAAGTCAACTGCCTTTGGAATGATGGTTGCGATATGAGATTCATGGATAATAATTCTCTGGTGAATCATATTAATAGCAGTCACATCAATTATAATGCCGAGCCAGTATGTCTATGGTCAGGTTGTGGTCAAGAGGTTCAGGACCATGGAGTGCTGCTGGACCATGTTAAGGACCTGCACATGCCTCATGTGTATCAAACTGTCTGTTTGTGGAAGGGCTGTAATGCTGTTTTCCAGAATGATGCAGATCTCCAATCGCATCTACGAACTCACTTGGAGGGACCAACAGAGCAGTGTTTATGGGGTTCATGCAATACCGAAGCCCATGGAATTGATGATTTGGAAGAACACCTTCACAATGAGCACTTTACAACGCCTCATGATATTCCTGAGCCCGACACTGAGGCTGAGCCTCCCTCGTCAGAAGCTAGAGCCTGTGAATGGTTGGAAGTGGGCGCCGATGGGGGTTCCCACGTTTGTGGGAAGATGTTTAGTAGTGCCATAAAGCTTCAACAGCACGCAAAGGATTGCCATATCGCGGCACTGAGAAAAAAGACGGGATACTTTTGTTTCTGGGAAGGGTGCAATCGAAAGGACAAGCCTTTTAGTCAGAAGGGGAAGGTCGAAAGGCACATCCAGACGCATACCGGCTGTAAGAATAATGCCTTGAAGTGCCTTAGTATCGCTATTTTAACAGTCATGCTCTACATTAGACAAAAGCTGTACTTGCCCGTTTTGCCAGAAAGAATTTTCCGCGCCTCAAGCTTTACAGCAGCACATACGTACTCATACTGGGGAAAAACCCTACAAATGCGATGTACTACCTCTTCCACTCCTCCAGCGCTTCCGAGACTAGTTGAAAGAGGATGGTGGTATTGATTTTTGAGGAATAGATTTGCGGCAAGGAATTTGCCCAAGGGTCTGCTATGACGATGCACAAGAGGGTCCATACTGGAGAGCGACCATTGCAGTGTGATTTCCCTGGATGCGGCAAACGGTTTTCGGAGAGCAGTAACCTCTCCAAGCACCGCAAGAGTAAGTTCTCTCCCTCGACGCGGAGATGTAGCGCGTGATGGCGCAAAATAAGACGTGGAAAGTTAAATATTAACAACTACCGTCGCCAATTAGCGCACAACCCGGTTGGACAACATCGATGCGGCTTCCCCGGGTGCGATAGATCATTCCATAGGCTAGGTACATTCTCGCGAGATCTCCTTTGGTACTTGTCGAATTGGTCGAACCGGCCGGAACCTTATAATATCCAAATTGCTAACATCCAGCCCTTTAGATCAAATGAAGCGCCACCAGAAGACCCACGGCACTGTCGTTTCATCCAGCAACCTGGACTAACCGCGCCGGAGTGCAAAAAGAGAATAAATGAATGGTTTGGCACGAGGTATGGCTGACAAAGGGATTGCCTAACTTTTTGAGCACTCTCTGGTGGAGGTTTGGGGTGAAATGCCGTGGAGACCTACGCGCTTCTCCAGGGAGCGGAGCTATCGCCTGTCCAACATGGTGCAACAGGGGCTGGCTTATTCGATGGCCTCTAAGCTCAAGCTTTCAGGCTTGTATGTAGGTTCCCGCGTTGATGTTGGCATTATCTGGGGGGGGGGGGTTAAGGCTTGGTGTATGATATGGATACTTTTTTGTTGCTTCAATGAGTGCTATGGCACCCTATACCTCTGTGGCTATGGCGGTATTTCTTTTTTCGGATTCCAATTCTGGATCCTGTCTGTACTTAGATATTGGGATCAGTCCTTAAACATTTCTAATGAATGAATGAACGGTCATTTCCGATACGCAGCAAGGCCAGTCAATTGCAAGAGAGCAGAAATTCTGTTTCCAAAAGTGGTATTCATGGCGGTTTGGCTAATACGAAGGTGTCCGAAGATTAGACCCTCCACCACCCGTGTAGAGCACAATGGCCGAGAGGGTGGGATATTTCTTGAATCGGGAATTTTGTGTGCTGATTTGTTGTCATCTCTCCTCCTCGTCTCCAGGTAACAGGGCCTTTACTCGGATTGGTTGGGAGCAAGCTATCCATACAAGTATGGTTGGTTGCTGTCACCCACCCGAGTTCCAGCTTTTTTTTCTTCCTTTCTTCCTTTTTTCCTTTTTTCCTTTTTTCCTTCATTCTTTATTCTTTTTTCTTCTTTCTTCTTTCTTCTTTCTTCCTTTCCAAAAGCGGAACAAGAGGCGAATACTCGTACCCAATTGGAAAGGTAGTTGCAGCCCTCCGGAGTACGAGTACGAGTACTTTTTCCTGCAAGGTGGGAAATGGAGGAAGAACGCAAAAAGTGCAGGATCTCAAAATGCCAGCAATTTACTGGTGGAGTTAAGGAAAGGGCAAGCTTTTTAAAAAAAGAAGGAATGACAGGAACCACCGTTTTTCCATTGACCCATCCCCGAGGCGTCGGAAAAGTCATCTCCCGTATCATATCCGTGCCAAGTTAAGTTAGTTCCTGGCTGTATCATATCATACTCGTACCCATACACTGCATTCTTCTATTTACGGGTAGTCTCCCGTCCATAATGAGGTAGGGGAAGAGGGAAGAGGGGAGAAAAGAGGGACGAGGAAAAGGAAGAAGAAAGAGGGGAAATTTTAGTACGCGCATCTGCACAATGCGCTGTACCTCACAATGCTCCCGTGCTCCGCAACCATTGTGGGAAAGGGAATAAGAAAGGGTGAGCCCATTCCATTTTTCGATAAGTCCGAGGCGGTAATGGATTGGATGAGAGTTATCTTCGCTTTACAACCACATCTTGCTTGTACGAGTACAGTACAGTTACCATCCATACTTACACATATGATACATCCACACATGAGGAGGTTACCCAATCCTCAAACAAAAAGAGTGTAACCACCAAACGCCATTATCGACATAACCCGTTCCGCCGCCAGTGCCGGTCTTACTGCCAACTGGTTCTTCCTCCTCTTCTTCTGGGCCTGTGTGCTGTTCTGTAACCGTAGCTGAGTGGAGTGCAATAAGATCGGTGTTTGGTGAGCCTATTAAATTTACCGACCGCCGTCCGATGTGTTCCCACCATCCACTAATTTACCTTGTTATACTCTGGCATATTTCACAAAGATTCCCACCCTCCTGAATATAATACCATAGGGCTTGCCCATCTCCTCTTTATCCCTTCCTCCCTGTCCTGCTCCTCGCTACCTTTCTGTTCTTCTCTCATCCCCTCCACCCCCTCTCTTCTTCTCTTCTCCCTCTCTCCCCTCCTCCTTCCCCCCTTTAACTGCGTTAAAATGTCTGACGACGAAAGAACCCCTTTGCTCGCTGAGCGCCCGGCAGCTCACATCGACAAGCATGCCCCTCCAACTGATGAGGAAGCACGGATTAAAGATTCTGCGGCGGCATCAACCGCACCAGACGGTCCAAGGATCCCTGGCGTGAAGTTGAGGTTCATACTTCCTGCCATGGCAATCGGGGTTTGTTTTGCTTTTTCGCTTGCTCCCGAGGAAGTTTCAGGACTGCCACGAGGCCCCTTATGTTTTTCTTTTTTGCCTAACCAACAGCCCCTGTGTCTTAGATTTTCCTGGCAGCCATGGATAACACTATTGTTGTGAGTTCGTATGGAGCTATCGGAAGCGATATGAAGGAGTTGAATAAGACTTCTTGGATTGCCACCGCGTGCGTATTTCCTATTACTAAGGGCAGGGAGCAATAGACTGACCGTCCGCTCGGGAGGGTCTAGATATTTGCTTACGACGACGAGCTTTCAACCGTTGTATGGAAAATCGAGTGATATTTTCGGGCGGAAATCTGCGCTATTGTTTTCATATGCCGTTTTCGGAATCGGATGCTTGTGCTGTGGGCTTGCGAGGTCTATGGGGGAGCTGATCGCTGCAAGAGTATGTTTCTTTGGAGTTTTGCCCAATCGTGAGCTGTGCTTACCCGCTGCCGTGTAGGCGTTCGCAGGTGTCGGCGGAGGCGGTATGACAACGGTGGTTTCCATATTACTGAATGATATAGTGCCGTTAAGGTCTCGAGGGACTTTTCAAGGTATTATGAATATCGTTTTCGCAAGTGGGGCTGCGATTGGTGCGCCGTTGGGTTGGTTTCTCCCTCGTCGGGTGATGATTGAGCAAAGCTGATAGGTATTAAAGGCGGAATTTTGGCGGACAGCGTTGGCTGGAGATGGTAAGAATATCCCGCGGTGCTAAACCTTATCTCCTAATACACGTGCTAATGTGGTATGATATTTAGGTCATTCTTGGGTCAATTCCCCATCGCGATGCTTGCTATCTTTGTCGTCTCGGTCGCGCTGCATCTCCCCCCCTCGGCCAGTCCTCAAAAAGCAAGTTTCAAAACTCAGGTGAGGCGCGTTGACTTCCTGGGAGCTGGTGTCCTCGTGCTCGCGGTATTCACCCTCCTCTTTGGCCTGGACCGAGGTGGAAATCTCTCGCTCAAGGATACATACGTTATCGTCTCATTATGCACTTCCCTGGTGCTATTCGCTCTATTCGGTCTTGTGGAGGCCAAGATCGCGGCGGAACCATTCGCTCCTCTTCACCTTGTCCGGAGAAGAACCATTCTGAGCGTCTGCCTGACATACTTCTTCTCCTTCGCAGGATACATGGCGATACTCTTCTACCTACCCCTCTATTATCAAGCCGTGTCCTCTCTCACTGCCGGCGGCGCCGGTCTTCGCCTAGTTCCCGCAATTGTAGGCGGTGTATCCGGCTCACTCTTTGGCGGACTCATTATGGAGAAGACGGGAAAGTACTACTACCTAACCGTACTTTCCTACACGCTCTTCTTCTCCGGCACTATCCCGGTGTTCCTGGCGACGGGAATACTAGGGAACTCAATGCCAACTATCACCGCCGGTATCGCTTGCATGGGGTTCGGAAATGGTATTGGTGTTACGAGCATTCTTATTGCATTGATTGCCGCGGCGGGACATGAAGAACAGGCGGTTGCCACCGCTGTTAGTTATCTATTTAGGGCTCTCGGTCAGGTTACGGGCATAAGCGTTAGCTCTATGCTTGTGCAGGGAAGTCTGAGAGGGGAGCTGACCAGGGTTCTCGATGGCGCTGATGCTGATGAGGTATGAACCTTCCACTCCTCTTTCTCTCCTCGATGCTAAGTTTTGCGTAACAGATCGTCCATAAAGTCCGCTCTTCCCTCAGCGCAATCAACACCCTCACGCCAGCCACTAGAGAACTTGTTCTAGCGGCGTATCAAAATGCGTTGCATTCGGTATTGCTCTCCCACTTCCTCCACATACGTGGCGCTAACTGTATACAGGCATTCCTACTGGGCATAGTACTAGCATTTTTATCCGTACTCTCATCAATGTTTATTAGAGAGAAGTCTTTAGGAAGATAGGGAGTTGATGGACTTGCATATCACATGTGGAGTTAGGTGGTCTTTTTTCTCTGTTGAAACGGTTACTTTCGGGGTAGTTTTTCATTATTTCCATTAGGCCATCTTAATTCCTGTTTTTTGCATCAGAATACAGCGATCGTCCTTAAATTGTAAATCTTGGCAATCGGCACGTGGTAAGAGCGAGATCACACCACGTCACTCGAGCAAGATATACCTCCCTAGAGCATGAGATCATGCTAAACCTCCCTCTGCACAAGACACCCCCCCAGAAATCCATTCCTCCACCGCCACCACCATCACCAAGAGAACACATCACTCGTTCTCTGCGCTCGTCGACCCAGACAGGGAGAATTACCAACCCCCCCGATCGCGTGCAAGATCAGCACTGTAGCTCGGATACCATATTGTTACGTCCCCGCACGGCCAGAATCATGCTTCATACTCACCCGTCCACCCATCCGGGCCCGGTACAAGCCTATATATATATAGCCTCGGTCCCGTATATGAATGCGAAATGATGTGTCACCGGCGGGGCCAGTTCCCGCGGGATATGCTGCGTACGGTAGTAGGGTTTGGGGGGTGTAGGCGTCGGATGCCGGCTCCATAACAATAATTTATTATGATACGATATCACCACGGTAATATCCTGGCATATCACAGTTTTATGGGATTGGATTGAGTGATGGGCTGTGATGTGATTCTAGGGTTTCGGAGGGGAAGGGTTGTCAGTTGTTGGTGAGGGGGTAACTTATAAGGATGGATGGATGGATACTTAAGGCTGTTGCGCGGTTTATCAAAGGGAAGGTACCAAAAAATCACATCAACAAATATTTCATAAAAGATTTAGGGCCTGAGGACAGTAATATTAAATATGCTTATCGGCTCCTTAATGCTGTTGATGCATTGGAATCAGGCATGGGGATGAAAAGCTGGAAAGAGGATTTTGTATCATTTAGCGAGACTGTAAGTAAATGTATCCTCAGATTGTCCAATATTGACGAAAAATAAAACATTCCAGACGGAGAAGAACCAGCTGAAGATTCTTTGAAACATAAATTCTTTTTCCGCAATTCGATTAATTGTGCTAAATATCTACTTAGTCAAAGATGTTTTGCTCAAGATTTAGTTTACGCCCCTGTACAGGAATGGAATAGCAAAGAGCTACCTCAGTGAATTTATTCCGAAATGCATACAGCAGATTAGTAGTAGGAAATACAGGTAAGTTCAAATGCGATGTTCTATGGTGTCTCCATATCCATATATGAAGACAAATTGATAGCAAGTATAGGATAAATTGCCCAATAGAGCAACACTTGTACCAATCATATCTGCTTCTGACATAACATTTTTGACAAATTTCTTGTGGGATAAGAAAGCTTGGCCAATTTATATGACAATTGGGAAATATCCTATCGAGAACTCAGAATAAGATGTCAAAACATGCAATCCTCCTTTTATCACTTTTGCCCGTCCCTCCAAAGATGCTGGGGGTAGTAACAAGAGATACACAGCAGTGGCAGATTAACAATGAGATTCTTTGTGATTTGATAGAAGTAATCTTTGTATCAATAGTTACCCTTGGGAACTCCAGGCTTGAGGTTGAATGTGTCAATGGAAAGGTCCAATTATGTTTTCTATATCTCACCGCTTAGATTGCAGATCACTTGGAAAATGTCACATTATATCGTATTCAACAAAATCAGTATGCTGTCTGTGAGGTCTGGTCAGAACAATTAGGATCCCATTCAAGACACCTCACGGCTAAACGAGACTATACAAAATATGAAAATTTCTTCCACAAATACTGTGATAATGACTAGTAAGCTGGATAAGAACTAGTAGATTATGGGTTTAAATTACTCCCAAGTGTCTTTTAGAGGCTGCTTAATGTTCAACAATACAACTTGCCTAAACTAGATATTCTTCACATTGTGTACCTGAGAATATTCAAAACATACCTGATGAAATGGATAATCTGATTTCTCAAGAAGTACAAGTGGCTACAATAATTCAATGCTATCTGGAAGAGTTTAGCTACTTATCCTGGTTATTTTCCGCCAAACAAAGAGTACAGTCAGATTTCTCAGTTGACTGAGAAAGAGATGCAAAATCTCGTTAAATTGTTACTGCCTTGTTTTGCAGCCTCGCCACATCCTCCAAGTGTCGCAGAATATCCTGTATTTACCAAATCTCTGACCTGTATCTCATGTATTGTTGACTTTACCCAAATGTCACAATATACAAGTCATACCAATGAAACAATTCAATACCTTGAACAGTTCCTAAAAGTGTTTCACTATCACAAAGATGTTTTTAAGGAGTACAGAAGAGATAGGTCTACAATCAGGAAAGTGAGAGTAGTCAGTACCAGGATTCAGTGTGGGAATAATGAGATACTTAATCAACATTGCGTTTTGGAAGTTATGGCAGTCAAAAGACGTTACATTGTAGATAAACAGCACCGCTATTTAGATGAAATTGTTGCCAATATATATGATGAGAATGTAGACTTTAACCTAGTTAAAATACATTTATTGAGTCACTTTGGGAACCATGTACAGCACTTTGGAAATATTCAAATGTATTCAACCAAGTCAGGGGAGACAAGTCATAAAACAATAATCATGAAGGTTTATTGGCGGTCAAAATAAAAACAATTCGAGTCATCAAATACTAAGAATATACGCTAGACTTGACAGCTTCAAAATTTATGGAATAAATGTCAAAGTCAATTTATATCGTCTTATTCAGGATGAACTATACCACAACCAGTATAAAGGGCAGGTTGGATCAGTAACTATGCAACCAATGGGTTTTATACCAATTGTTGAAACTGTTTCACAATTCAATCAGACTTTGAGAAATTTTCCACACCTTTTACTTATTTATTATTTACAGAAATTATTTGTGAATCTACACCTTCATATGGATTCTGTTAAGAAGTTTCTAGTTGATGTAACCGGTATGGGTAAGCGGTTATTGGTTTGTTTTAAGTATCGTTTGATACTTGGTTTTGTTTTATGTTTTGTTTTAAGTATTGCTTTGATACTTAAGTAATTTTACCAAAGTGTATCGATTGATACCTTTGATTAGTTTTATTCATGCTAGACATGAACAGATTTGTGTATTTAAAGACCGCCTGTTTCTACGATAGAAGAGGCAGACTTCGACAGACAGTATTTCAATATACTTGGTTGAACGGTTACTTCTTTGTTCCTCAGTACACCTCCGAAGCCTCTTTTAGTTCTCAGCTCTCGCCTTCTTTCTGGAAGCACAGGCCACCTGCCAACTATCGTACCCATTACCGATAACGTAATTAGCACCTTGCGAACACATTACAATTGAGATATGTTGGCTTTTATGTGTTCTAGTTGAGAACTTTTAGGACACACAAGAGGTCACTTGGTACCTTCTCCAGTGTAACAGAACCCAGCTTTGGAGGTTAATAGGACAGATTAGGAATGATTGGGTATGGGTGGATTCAGGTAATAGAAATATTTACAGAGCATTAAATGTCTTTTATCCAGCTCACTTGGTATCAATAATGAAAGTTCAAGAGATAATACTGGGTTTAGTAGATAGACTCCTATTAGTAGATAAGCTATATGGAAGAATTCAGAAAAGCTTAGCGATGTTACAGGACTAGTTACTATCACTCTGGGGATGGCAAATGGTGTGAATGAAACAACTGAGCTGGTTGTTAGCATCAAACAGATCATGGGCATGGCACATTTAGTACTGGAGATTGCAGAAAGAGATAAAAAACACTGGTATATAAATAATAGGATCAATTTAGAGACATTTAATAGAATATATTAAAGACCATAAACTAGAAAGAATAAGTAAATTAGTAGAAGAGGAAACTTAAAGCAGTACAAGTGAGACATCTAGGAATACACATATGGGTAAACAAGGTAGCCTATGTAGCAAATAGTGTAATACGCAAAGAAAATAGTGAAGAGATTCATGAGGTCTTGAATAGGACAATGGGAAGTATAAAATGTACAAGCTTTGGTGAAAGAGGAGGGAGAACCAATTATGTACTCATATCATGTAAACAAGAAAGGTGGATATGGTAACAGTATGTGGGCAGACAATGCATAATATGACCTGAACAATGGCTCTAGGGGGGTGGAAGCTATAACAGAGAAATGAGGGGGAAGCTAAAGTGCGGGGTGTCATATGGGTCCACAAAACAGGTGAAGGTTCTTCCGGATATTTGTAGGTACAATTGAGCTGCATAACAGCCAAAATGGCTGATCCAGAAAAGTCAAAAAAGAATAGGGGTCGGTTAGTGTTAGGCGGAGACAACCTGATAGACTTCAGAGTTGTCTAGGCCAACCAAGATTCATTTCTGTAGACAGAGATTGTCTAGGAAGGCTCGAACTTCACTCGTTTCGTTTATGACTACTAAGAGTGAAGTAAGATAGGTAAAGTAGAATTGAATCGTAAAGACAATATTATATTGTTAAGGTCTCTTCTCCATTACTTGATGATGTTTAAAGCTTGAGAGGCACTTCAATATTTATATTTAGCATCCCAGTGTTCGCAGACTATATCTATTTATTACATGACTATGTACCTCTCTGATTATAACTTGCAATGTCGGGTATTCTTAAAAGGTGCAGACACCTGGAGACCTTGAAAATCACCACTGTCAGGAATGTGGCTTGGCAAGGAAAAGGTTTTTATGTGACACATGGTTATGAGTCACAGGTATGTTATTGTTTCACACATATGACTCATTCGAGTCGTATGATTTGTTATGTGTAGGATTTGTAATGCTTTCTAACATGGCTCAAATATGAGTCATGGGACATGCGCCTGGCGAGTGTCTTGCGGGTATACCTTGCGCATATGATTTATGTTTCGCACATGACCTCACTATGAGGTCATGGGTTTTACGCATATGACTCAATAGAGTCATATGACTTGTTTATTACGTTATAATTGGTTTATGAGTTTTTGCACATAACCTCGCTATAAGGTCATGGGTTTTGAGCATGTGACCACTTTGGTCACATGACTAGTTTGTTATGATTTGGTTTCACACATGTGACTACTTTGGGTCACATGATTATGGGCGGGAAGAATACTATATAAGAAGGCCGATACGGCCGAGGAAGATAGATTCTTCATGCTTTATTCTAAGTACTTTCTCTACTGATTACTTTAGCAAATATAAAACACCTTTACAATCTTTATCT